AGGTCGCTCAGAATAGAGTGCTGAGGATGGTACTTGATCGTCCTTTTGACACTAGAATAACAAATTTACACGAAGAGGCAGGCATTGCCAAAATAGATTCCAGAATTAACGAAATTAAGACTAATTTTGCACAAAAATGTGATTTATCAGAACATGCTTTGATAAGCAATTTGTATATAGTAGGTTAGGTGTACATAGTAGTTGTAGGTTAGTTGTAGTTGTAAATAGTAGTTATAAGTAGTCTCCTTTTTCAAATTTTCAAACAAACCAATCCCACCAAGGTGGTCATTCTCTAAAACAGGCCTGATAGGACTAGGAACTGTAATTAATAATAATTGAAATTTCACAGGAACTAAAGTTGAAAAGACGCATCTGTGTCACTTGATAAGTTATACATGTAAACCACACAAATTCAAGAAATATAGATCATTTAAGTCAAGTCAAGTGTGTTGCGTTAAAGCGGGAACTTTATCATCGCTGGCAATCTGAACGCAAAACACCAAACTTGGGCAACGGTCGGAGCAATAGAAACGGCATCATCCTCAATGAAGACCTGCAAGAGGACCACTATACCATCTTGGCCCCGGAATCTCCCACCCGGTTGAGTCGGTCTGCGGTCCATGCGACCATCGACATCTTCGTAAGCAACATGGGACACAACGTCTCGCAACCTGTGGCATTCCAGGAGCTGAGCTCGGACCACTACCCGCGGTGGTGGCCGAAGTTGGATCCTCGGTAAACCGATTCGAAGCTTCCCGGCGCAACTACCATCGAGTCAACTGGGCGCAATATCAACACTGCGTCGACACAACCATCAACTGCGATGTCCAACCGGGGCTGTCCGAAAATGTTGACCGGTGTCTACAAACCATCGAGGAGGCGATTTCCCGGGTCAGGGAACAACACGTGCCAGTATCCAGACAGGTGAGTAACACTCTGAACCTTGACAGCCCTACCAAAGATCTCATTAGACTCCGTAACACCATTCGTAGGCAGTACCAGCGTACTGGCCTGCCTAACTTGAAGACCAATTGTAATCGATTAACAATGATCATCCAGGCCAGGATGGTGGATCTCAGAAATAACGATTTTGCTAGTAAGATCCGCTCTCTCCCAGATTGTGCTAAGCCCTTCTGGAAACTTACAAAAATTCTTAAAAACAAGCCTAGGCCCATTCCCCCACTGACCCCAGTGGATCGTTCCGGCGACCAAGTGGTTCATCTGATAACTCCTGAAAAGAAGGCTGCCGTGATAGGTCAACACTTCGTCAGCTCCCATAATCTCGGACAAAACATCGTCAGCCCTCATGAATCTGAGGTTGCTGAAAATGCAACCAATCTTCTTCAGATTCCTAACATTTTTCCAGAGGAATCCGGGATAATGGCTGACGAACTGTTGGCCTATATCAAATCATCTAAAAACATGAATGCCCCAGGTTTCGACAACATCCTGAATCTGGAACTCAAACACTTGACTTCCAGATTCTACAACCATCTGGCACTGATTTTTAATCAGTGCCTCAGACTTGGCCACTTCCCCTCGTGTTGGAAGTCAGCTAAAGTCATACCCATCCGGAAACCTGGGAAGGATCCGTCCTCTCCTTCAAGTTATGGCCAATCAGCTTTCTCTCAGGGTTATCAAAACTGTTCGAAAGAGCACTGTGTATAATGAGAATCCTGCCCAGAACATGTGAAAATAATATAAAAATATTATTGTACCAAGGAATTCAGAAAAAATAAAAAATGTTAAATAGCATTGATTTTCCACCAGAAAAGCTCAAAACTACCACTAACTCATCTGGTCATATATCAAAAACTATTTTTCCAAATCATTTGCCCAGTACACACTAATCCAGGCCTCCGTTGTTCGGTAAATTTTGAACTACAGAACTGTTCGGTAAAAGTTTAAAAGTCAGTGAAAATTCCAATTATTAAAAAAATTATCCCAAACTCGTACAAAAGTTGTTCAGTTTACCCCATTTATTGATGAAAAAAAAAATTTATAAATTTTCTTGATTTCTTACGTGTAACGGTCATTTGAAAATTTTACCGAGTTGTTCTGCTGTTCAAAAACCCGGTAAATTCCTACCGACTTCGGTGATCTGAATTAAGTGTGTAGAAGAGTGAAAATATGCTATTTTGTTACAATTTAGATATCTGCCGGTAATCAGTCTGTTTACTGTAGTTACTATAACAAAAACAAAATGTGGGTACAACTTTGTGAATTAACAATAAAAAAAAACTTTAAATTGACGTTCTAAGATCACGAATAGCTTATTTGGTTGTGGAGAAATCTCTTCTGAAAGTTGAAATTTTTTTAAATCTCGAAAATCCAGGGTTGCACCCTAGAAGGATCTAGGCACTTTAGATTAAAATCAAAAAAGGCGTTTGTTCAGAATGGCAAAATAAGCGTGACATCGACCACAGGTGGTGTACCCACTTGAGCTGGAATTACCCATATGTGATCTTTTCGCCACTTTTTTTATTTTCAAGAAACATACAGGAAATTTTCAGAATTGATATCATAACGCTGAATTTTAAATTAGAAAAAAAAATGGGATTTGAGATGAAGCTCTCCACCTGGATTAAATCGTATTTAGTTGGTCGCCAGCAAATTGTAAGATTCAACGAGAAAACATCTAAGCCAATTCATGTCACGTCAGGGGTTCCCCAGGGCTCGCACCTAGGTTCCCTTCTTTTTTATTTTGTACATTTATGACGTCTCTCTAATTTTAAAAATATCAGAGTGCTTATATACGCTGTTTACATTAAGCTATTTTTAAAAATAGGAAGCGATAACGATATGAATGTTATCACAAGATGACACTTGGCGACTCCTTCACCAAATCCTTTGCCACCCTTGCCACGACCAGTCATGCCTCTTGGTTGTTTACCGTTGACCGAGGTAAGAGGTAGCTAACTGCGCGTTCGCATGAGTTGCGATGCACCCGTTCAACGGCAAACAACCAGGAGGCATGACTGGTCGTGTCAAGGGTGGCAAGGATTTGGTAAAGGAGTCGCCATGTACAAGGAAACCCGAGGTGTGCTGAATGTGTGCCGAGAAAATGTGATCACTGAACGCGCCAAGAACAGACAGTCCCGGCCATGGATGTCATCTACGCATCATTATCACCAACAACCAAGTAACAAAACGGCCCTTGTTCATTTAAGAAACGGCACCATGTTCATTTAAGAAAAGAGTTAGAGTAGAATTTATAAAAAAATTACAAAAATAGTTTTCACCATTAAGTCAAGGCTATTTTTTATCATTGATGGCGCTGTTCCATTGATAATAAGATAGAAATTTGGAAAAGTGGATGGAACGCTTTGGATGTATATTATGGTCAAAATAAGTCAAAAGAAATCATTCATTATTGTTCAGTTTTTTCCTAGAAATTTTTGATAAATAGTATTTTCTTGCAGAATATGTTAAAAGGGAGAGAATTTTTATGTCTTTTTTATGCAGAATATGCAAAATGGGAGGGACTTCAAATGTTAATCCTCCATCCCCCAAAAAATGTTACAGAGTGTTATCAAAATACATGGAATGTTGAGATATTGAGATCGTGAGAGTGAATTTTCTCATACAAATTTGAATGTTTTGGCTCTATGGGGATTGGTAGTAAAGCAATTAAAAAATGTATGGGAAAAAAACCTTTTTTATTTAATTTTAGATTATTTAACAAAAATTTCCAGGAAAAACAGATCGACAAAGTCCATAAACAATTTTTTTTAGGTAGTCGTCAACTTTTTTAGGAAAGCTATGTGAAATTCACATGGATTTCATGCATTACATATGTGATATATTTTTTGAGTGGATCCCCTGTTTCCAAGTTTGGTTACAAGATTACAACTCTGGAGAGCATTTTGTGTGGTCGTTGGGAGCGTGTGGTTCTGAATATGGCGATGAGTGTGCAAAATATAACGCTATTGCATCCTCCCTATTCGCACGCTCCCGAGGATCGGAGGCGAATGGCACTTCGACTTGTTTCGTCTACTGACTACTCTCTGACGACTGTGCTGGGGAAGCAGCATATGTATGTAGGTAATTGGTGAATTTGTTAGTTAATTCGACGCTTTTGGACAATGCTGGACATTTACCAGTTTTTCAATAGTTTCTTGTTAAAAATCAACATTAGGAAGCATTGTTATCGATGCGTAACCATATTTCTGACCGTTTGGTGATAAAATTATTGAAATTAGACCACGGGCAGCTGAATTATTAACGTTCAAAATCTTTCATAATTTGTTACATGTTCCATTTTCTGTTTTCACAAAGTGTACCCCCATATAGATATCACAGATGTAGTCCTACGTCAAAAATTTAATTCAGAACCCTGTGAACATAGAACATAAGTCCTAATGCTAATATGTAGTCTACGATTTGATTGATTGACGAATAAATAAATAAATAAATAGATTAAAACGGGAATTGTACAATTGGATTTGAATGGTCACCCTGACGATTGCAAATGAACCTCTTGCTCATGTTTCTTGAGTACGCTATTTGGGTGCCACCCTTGATTCTGCGATTATTATTCGGCTATGTAGCTAAAAGTGATATGATCTCAAGAGCAAATCGACAGCTTGGGTTCATGTTTAATACTGCGATCGAGTTTCCTAACGCACTTTGTCGCCAATCGTTATATTACGCTTTAATAAGACCGATTCTCGAATCCAATGCTGATGTACCGTGCGCATAGCAAATAACATAGATATCAGGATTTAAGTAATACAAAAGAAGTTCGCTAGATGTGTCTAACGCGGTCTTCCATGGCAGGATCCTGGTCATCTACCTGGTACGATTTCATTAGAATTTATAATACCATGCAATTAAGCTCCTTTCCAGAATAGTTAACTGAGAATTTTTAAGTTAATATTTTGTAATGAATTACTAATTTGCAATGTTCTGTGAAGTTCGAAGGGAGCTTGCAAAATCTAACGATGCGATGTGATGGAAACAGTCCACAGTTCTAATGAAAGCCACCAACGGTCACTTACCCGATACTGTCCCAGGTTGTTGACTACGCAAGTAAACGAAACGTCCCGTCCCTGTGTCACCGTAAGATTGTCCAACGGAGCCAAAAACTCCGGCTGTGCTTCCGATTGTGATCCATGCCCTGTGGGGTGGAAAAAGAGTGCAACAAAAATATATTTATCAAAAACCACTTGCAAAAAACTTCATCCAACCCAGCTCCGTTTATCATTGTTTGTCTTTCTACTTTTCTGTTCGGATAGAGAACTTGCATAATTAAATTCAACAAATTAAACCAACGAAACAATTATGACAATTTATCATCGCAGAAGGGGAAAATTTCCCATTCGTTTTTAATTTGAATAAATCCAGCATCTCTCCGTAGTGGCAAGGAAGTATGCAACACACCATTCCACCCACACCCGCAAACTTACCATTCACCAGTATGGCCACGAACAATATATTCAACAAAAGCTTGAGCTCCACAAAATTTATGTGTCCCATTTCTATGCTCCGTTTCGGCACTCGGCTCCGGCTTCCACTGTTACTATTTTCTGCGCCACTTTTAGATATTAATGCTCCTACTCCACCGGCAGCAGTTTACTATGAGCAACGATGCACTTTTTCACTGTGTTCTTCACCTACCACACAAACACACACCCACACTCTCACTCGGGAGCAATGCTTCTATTTTCACGATTGCTATTATGCACTTTAGCCTTCTTCTCTGAAGCGTACCATTCATCGCATTTTATTTTCGAAACTTTCAGCACTCCACTAAGCAGCACAGTCACGCGACCAGTTCGGAGTATTTTTCGGTGAAACAATTCCAAATTGCATTGGAAATGTATATACTGAACACAGCAGCAGCCGCCAGATGATGCAGCTCTTCTCGTTGCTGCAATTGGAGAATGCAAAATTTTCACCACAACAAGGTATAAGCTCTTCCTTTAGGGGTCGGGTGTGGCTCTACCTCAGGCATGGCTCCAGTCCCTTTCTGACCATGATGATGATGATGATGATGATAATGGGTCCTACGGAAAGCGAGAGCTATGCAGAGGTGAATGCTTTCCTAATTGGGTTGCATTCAGTAAATCCAAGTCTGGAAAGTAGAAATGAGAAATAATTTCGTCCATTAGAATGATGAAGGAATTTAAGGAAATCAGGAACCTAAAACGTTACGTGTGTTCTAAGGATTAAAAGTCAAAAGTGCCTCATTGTTGCTCATTATTCCCATCAGGTGGAACTTTACTGGAGCTTTGTGTTATTTCAGAAATTCCACAGTTGTTGGGTATCCTAAAGCAGTCGAAATACCACAATAAACCGTACAACAACAATCCACGAAAAACTACCCAACTTAAAATTTAAAACACTTTAAAGACACCCTTTCCATCCCGGCCTGTTAAAGTATTTCGTTCCAAATTAGAGATAAGATTCAGACCAAATCCTACCCTAAGCTCATCAGAATCGTCTGAAGCGAGAGCGAATGAGAAACCGGTCGGTCCAACCGAGCATTCCATTGTTCAGTTCTTCATTCTATAATTCCAACAATGAACGCAATGCCTTCCGGAGGCATTTTCAAAATAAAAAAAAACCGAGGGTATTCCATTCCTAAGTTTAGCATTGCCTCATTCTTTTCGTCGGTTCAAACTGCCAATTATTCCACTCGGTGCGGTACGCTCTTTGCCATACGAAAGCTGTATCCAGACATGAGCATGAACGCGTTGAGCGGAGCGGGATTCACAGCAGTATGAGAGAGTCAACTAGCTCTTGTTGACCTATTCATACTGCGGCAAATCCCGCTCCGTTACGCGCGTACACGCTCATGTCTGAATACAGCTTGAAAGATCCAATGACACCCCCACCTAAAGCCGGCTAGAGAGATAGTGACAGCGCGTGCAATAAACAGAGTTGAGCAAGGTCATACCGAGAACCGACGAGTACGACGACGACGTGGGAAGTCGGAAAACAATTTCCTCGAGCCACTATCAGGATTTAAATTTCCCAAACCCGGACTCTGGGATTCATCCGAGCGGAAAACTGCTGGAGACGGTTCCAGAAGTCATGTTTCTCCTTTAAGGATGTGCTCTTGCTATTGTGTGCGAAGGCGGGAAGGCAAATTTTAGTGAGTCATAAATCAAAAAGAGAGGGTTATTTGAACCAGCAGACGGTGAAGACAGTGGACTAAAAGAAAACACTTACACCGAATTTAATTGTTTTACAGACCAGTAGTTTCAACTCTTAAAACAAGTCAATACCAGGAATAATCTGTATGAGCTAAGATTGAACCTATCTAAAATTAATTCGTTTATGAAAAGCATTTCCACGTAACATTCCCAAGCAACAATTTTTGTTTTATTTAAGTTTTATAGCAGTTGATATAACCAAATTATAAAACCTTCACTGACGACCACATTGCTTTAACAATTTCCTGAGAACCGCAATACAGCCATGTCATGGCCAATTGGCCCAGTTTTAATGCAGTCATTAAAACTTGATATGCGAACTACTTTAGGAGCATAGGATTTATGTCAGTTTTATCACACTCTAGACGTGATTGTTAAAAATGAAAACATAAAACCTCCTCCAGGTCAGAAAGTTGTAACAGCCTTCTAATGACTACCATAAAACTATATTACAACCGCATAAATCGCTCCTGAAGAAGTTGATAAAACATGATACGCAAAACATTTTGACAACTTTGAAGGTTTTAAGTTGGGGTTTTTGGATGATAATTAATATTGAGAAATATTTTATTGTGGTTTTATTCTTTCGATGTTTGATGTGAAATAATGATCCTTGTCAGTTGGTAATAATGGCTGATATTATTGTACATTGAAAATAAGACGACTTTATTATTATTTTAAACCAATCTGTTTATGCTTCACAGCATGCCGTGCAATATTTATGGTGATTATTATACCAAATAGGAGCATAAATTTAGTGCGCCATATGAATACTAAAATATAGGGATATTTTTAATTTGTCTGCATTAGCACCATGCATTAAAGAGTCATTCAAAGATTATCTATTTAGTACAAAACTGTTACTACTGTTGAGCAATAACCAGTCACATATTATTTAATTATACATAGATGTATGAAAGTGTTTTACTGCCTATCAATTAAAACGTAATTATTCATACTGTGTGAAATTTGTTCATACGGCGACATTTTTTTTCGTTATAACTTGCTACTCCTTAAAAATACCTCAATATAACATATTCTCCTAGATTGGAATTCTATAGCATAACATAAACCTAATGGTTGTATCTTAGCATTTCGTAGTCCAAATTGAGAGCGTTAAGTTATATTTAAGCTATATAACTAGCTTGCTGGTTTTATTCGGTACAGCGAATCAAAACAAAACAAAAACCATGACCACCTGTCAAAAAGTCAACATTCCAAGCGATCCTCCTATTTTCGCTTGTAATCAAGATGTTAGAAATGCTTATTGGATCCACTAAAAGCTTTTTCAATACAAGGTTTAAAGCCGTGATGCCAATACTGGCCATCTCCAAACGGATTTAGTGAAACTGTCGGCGTTGCTTTAAGAAGGGTTCGTGGATCTTTCGGAAGTGTATCGGAAAGCCGCTTGTTCAATATTTTTAAGAGCTCCTTCACCGCACTGTGCCTTATGTAGGGATCGTATAACTGTAGTTCCTACAGGAGTTTCATATTGTCGATCGTCTCATCTTCATCGTGTTCAGAAGCACTGAAGGGGTTTTCATTTCATATATCTGAATAGATTTGTTTTTTATAATGACAAAAAATTTCAGAGTATTTTTTGTTGTAGCAGTATATCTTATCTGTGAATCTTAGGCCTCTGATAAAGATGATAGTTGTAATGAAGCTTTAATGAAGGTCTAAGACTGCTTCAAGTTTTATATCGGTCATAAAAAGTGTACCATAAAATATAATTGTATGTTTTGTTTTGGTTTTATTCTTCAGTTATAAGTAGTGATGCAGAACCACCTTACAGCTACCGTTAAAACTATGAAGTCTGAGTTTTAATTTAGTAGTCATAAAACAGTTTTATAGACGACTTGACGGCCTGATTTTATGACAAGCACACAAAACCGTAATACAACCACAGGCTGGAAGGGATGCTATGATAAAACAATGATAAAATAAGAATAAATCTTCCAAGCATTTAGATTGTTACTTGGGTTAGGTAATATATGGCTTCGACACCCATTGACTGTGTTCGGCAACCAAAATTTAAACGTTAATTTCACTGTATTTCCTCACCAAACATTTTGCTGAATGTATTGAATAGATTCCTTTGGCTTGCAGTTAAAATTTCATTACATTCAATGCGGTTGATTTTGAGTAGCCGATAAAAGAACAGCAGGTTCACACGCGCCTAACTATTGACCAACCTATGAAATGGCGAGAGATTTCACAAGGTGCCCTGCAAAATAACGTCTCCAGAAAGTTTTCATTGAACTGCGTTAATTTGGCGTACACACCAAATTTAAATCCCTGAAAATCAGCAAAATTTTGCTGATTTTAGACTAGATGAAAGATCATCAAACGCTCCAGCAAAATATTGCTGCTGAATTTTTCAGCAAATCCAACTTCTGTCAAAATGACAACCTTTTATTGAAAATCAGCAACTTTTTTTTACTGATCTTTTCAGCAATTCAAAATTCTGACATTTGGCAGCATATTGCTGATTTCACTATTAAATTCAGTAAATCGAATTTGTTTTCACTTTATGAACTCCAGCAGTATCATTTATTAAATATGTCCGAGCCAGTGTCCTTGCCTACATAATTTTATTTATTTGTAGTTTTTTTTTACCTCTTCCTCCTCCTCCGGTTTGACCGGTGGTGTACTAATGCAAAAATACTTGCGACTGTGATGCTAGTGGTTTTACAGCTCTTTGACTGAGTGTTAGTATATGTTAGCTGAATTTTTCGGTAAAAATATCGTTTGCTGTTTTCAGTAAAGCATTGGATTGCTGATAATGATACAGCAATCCGTTTTACTGATATTGAAAACGTACATTTGGTGTGTACATGAAAGCATTCGATGTGGTTAATAAAGGGTGGAACGGTAAAAAATTGGTCTACTCAAATCCGCGATTTTTTTCTAAATCGTGCAATTAAAAAACTAGAACACTCCTTTTTTTAGGTATGTGCGTTGCCTCTATTTTGCTTTTGCCATTATCCAGTTGTCAAAATGGCGTCAAAGCAAGAGGAACAGCGTTTAAAAATTTTGCTCGGGCATATTCGGAATCCAAATGTGCATTGGTACTCAGTACGGAAAACAAGATCGATGGAAAACAAATTTTAAAAAAATGTTTACAAAAACTATTGTTGCCTTTTTTAAGAAACACAGTTGTTCCGTGCTGTTTTGGCCAGACCCCGCTTCCTGTCACTACGGGAAAATGGCTCAGGATTGGTACGCCGCCAACAAAGTGCAAGTTTTACCCGAAGACAAAACCCTCCAAACTCGCCGGTGCTGCACCCAATTGAAAAATATTAGGCATTCGTTAAGTGGAACCTCAAGAAAACTCAGAAAACAATTTAAAGCAAATTGACGTTCAGCATCAAATAAGGTTGATATAACAGCGGTGATGGAAGGAGTGAAACATAAAGCTCGATAGTTCGCATTTGGAAAATCGGAAGTCTAAGCAAATATTTTTCCTGTATTTTGTAGTCATTGAACTTATAAAAAAAAAAAATGATCATGATTGACCGATTTTTGAGCGCTCCAGCCTTTAATAATCAATAATAATATTGATTATTATTGAACACATCAAATGCTTTCATGTACGCCAAAACAATATAATAAAGGGTGTATTCGATAAAAATGGTACACACATATTTACTCACCAAAATTAAGCCGATAATCGGAAATTTTTGGAGGAAATGAAAAACTACTAATGAGCGATGATTTACACAATTAGTTTTATTCAATTTTGTCTCCCATCCCGAATGCCCGCACCTTTCTTTTCACTTCACCCATCAAATTTTGTACAACCACTTTTCCCAGTGTTTTTGTTGTGTTTACCAGCTCTGTTTTAATAGTTTTGGGATGCGGAGTTCCGTCTTCATAATTGACCAGAATTTAAAATAAAAATAAAGGTGTTTCA